TTTTTTTTTTTTTGAGACAGAGCCTCGAGCTGTTGCCCTCGGTAGAATGCTGTAGCATCACAGCTCACAGCAACCTCTAACTCCTGGGGTCGAGCGATTCTCCTGCCTCAGTCTCCCAAGTAGCTGGGACTACAGGCATCAGCCACAAGGCCCTTCATTCCCATTAATACAATATAAAACCATTATTGAAAAAAACTATTAGTAAAATATAAAGCTAAATTTGGAAGGAAATTTAGTCATGGAGAAAATTTGAACTAGAAATCTTTATACAGGCCAGGTGTGATGGCCCATGCCTATAATCCTAGCACTCTGGGAGGCTGAGGCAGGAGCTCAGGAGTTCAAGATCAGCCTGAGCAAGAGCAAGATACAGTCTCTACTAAAAATAGAAAAGCTAGCTGGGCATTGTGGCAAGCATTTGTAATCCCAGCTACTCAGGAGGCTGAGGCAAGAAGAATCACTTGGGTCCAAGAGTTTGAGGTTGTTGTGAGCTATGACACCGCAGCACTCTACCAAGGATAACAGAGTGAGGCTCTCAAAAACAAACAAACAAAAAAACCTTATGCAAATTCTCCCAAACATGAACATCAATCAAGGTTCATAATTACAGTGTAATAGAACAGATACCAAGGCTTTCCTGACCCACGTTCCCAAAAATTGAAGGTTAAAAATAAGAATACAGACATGAGACCACTATACTTTAGAAGTCCAATGCTTGACAGAAAACTGAATTTAGAATTCCTGTTGTTACCCTGTATTTCTTTTTACACAGAAATTAGGCAAGTGGCTAGGCAATCTTAAGTTTGGTTTCTCTTATTTTTACAATTTCTATATTTTTAATACAGTAAAAATTTATTTTTTTTGCTCTTTTCTAATTAAGTGGAAGTGTCTCTTAAATTATTTATCTTATTCTGTGCTAGAAACTTAAGAGTTTTTATTTTCTCTTATTAAAAAGACCAAAACCAGCACTTGGGAGGCAAAGGCGGGTAGATTGCTTGAGCTCACGACTTTGAGACCAGCCTGAGGCAGAGCAAGATGCCATCTCTAAAAAACAGCTTGGCATGGTGGCAGGCACCTGTAGTCCCAGCTCCTTGGGAGGCTGAGACAAGATAATCGCTTAAGTCCAAGAGTTTGAGGTTGCTATGAGTGTGATATCATGGAACTCTACCAAGGGTGACAAAGTGAGACTCTATCTCAAAAATAAATAAATAAATAAATAAGAAGACCAAAACCAGCCAGGCACTGGTAGCTCGTGCCTATAATCCTAGCACTCTGGGAGGCTGAAGTGGGAGGATCGCTTGAGCTCAGGAGTTCAAGACTTGCCTGAGCAAGAGTGAGAACCCTGTCTCCACAAAAAATAAAAAGAACCCAGCTGGGAATCATGGCAAACACTACTTGGGAGGCCAAGGCAAAAAGATCCCTGGAGCCCAGGAGTCTGAGGTTGCTGTGAGCTATGATGATGCCACTGTACTCCATACAGGGCAACTGTGAGGAGACTGTCTCAACAATTGAAAAAAGACCAAAAACTACCTCTTGGGCATAAGGCTAGATCACTGTGCTCTTTTCCTCTAGGAATGCAAACTACTTTTTTAAAAATGTTTTCACCACCATTTTGTTTGTCCTTTAGAAAAAATCTCCCAAAATAGTTTTACAGTCTCCCAGCTATTCCTATTCTGGCTGACCCCAAAAGCACAAGACACTTCATTATTGCTATTATTACAAATTAAAAGAGGATAATGAAAATAATATACATTAAGGCTAATTAATCAACCTTAGTTCCCAGTTTAGGTTCTGAATGTTCTTATTAAAAGAGTTAACAGAAAAATGAAGATGAGATGATAGCTTCATTCAAACTCCCTTAATCCAGGTAGGTGAGCAGATCCAACCCCACATGTACTATCAAGGTGTAATGTTTCCAATTCTCAACAATTCCAGTTGGGGAGGTATCCATGTCTTTGGATCCTTGTCCCAAAAGGGTCCCCTTAGAATAAGGTGACCAGACATCCCGCTTTTGGTGGGACAGTCCTGTTTTTATCAATTTGTCCTGCATCCTGTGGCGTTTTATAGAAGTTCTGATTTTTGGAAACCATACATGACAAGCTAGGGAACAGAAGGAGAACAGGAAGGGAATATACGGATTTCAGCTGCCATGTGGCTATTTTGCCAGGATATGAGTTTTATATTATTTTTGTTAATTCTATAATGTTAAACTTTAATAATAACAAATAATTGTTGACAACTGATTATCAAGAACTGCTTATCAAAGTTCGCATTGTTGATCAGTTGTTAGAATTTGACCACCATTGTTTGGACTTAATGAACAATGGCATTTTTTGGCATTGGCAACGAAGAAAACATTTTGTAACTGTCTCTCAGACGATACACATTGTACTGCATGCTAGTGCTAGTTAAACAAGTGATATCAACAAATCAGCTATTCAGATAATTTAGGTAATTTATTTATTTATTTCATGAATTTAGCCGACAGTACTCATATTATTTATATTTTATAGTGGTGGCAAAAAGTATAGTGCCGGCCTTGAAAGTGACACTTAATGACTTATGAGGCATCATTATTAAAAATATATATTGATAAGGAAAAGGTTAAATCTTGGGTATCATCAAAAATCAAAATAGAGAACAAATGGTTAGATTAGAAATATTTCATCATTTTGAAACAAACCATGTTCCATACAATAATGCACTAAAAATTGTGGGATACGCGCTGTCCTTACCAGGAACTAATGCTGTGACTGAACGCGTTTTTTCTATGATAAATAAAGTGTGGACATCAGAAAAATCACAATTAAGTGTTGAGACTTTGAAAGCCATTTTATGTGTGAAATATAATTTAACAAATTCTTGTGAAAAATTTCATGACCTTTTAAAGAATGACAGCAGTCTACTAAAAAATATTCATTCAAATGAGAAATATGCCAAAGAATAAAATAATACTATACATAATTTTTTTAATGTATATTTGTAAATTATACTTATGTTGAAATTAAAAAAATATATTACAATACTATTTTTGCGTTCTATGAAAATTTTTGTTGCTCCATATAGACTACATTTTTAATTAAGAACCTCCCACCCCGGTCAATGGTGTCCCACTTTACCAATGTTAAAATCTGGTCACCTTACCTTAGAACTTATTCTCAAACCTGCAAATAAATTAGTTTTTATTTTTTAATTCCTATTTATCCTTATTTATACAAGAGATGTGAGGCAGTTAATAAGGAAAAAGTAAGTACATAAAAATCAGACTCTGGAAA